ATCCCCTCTCCCAGTAAAGTTTGCCCCTGGGTTTAGGGACATCATTTAGGGGTTGGGAGGTTGGGGGAGGAATTTTTATAAGCTCAGGGATCATTTTGAAGAAAAAAAAAGAGGGATGATGGGATAATAGATTTATAATTGTGAGTTACTGTTTTTAGACAAATATATTGGTATCGATTCTTGTATATTGATACAAAGTTAAATTATATTGACTATTGTATGCATGCATGTTTCTACCTCTGTTTAAAATATTTTTTATGTATTGACATATATTGTATTGATATATATATTGTATATATTTACCATATTGCGGTGTACATTTCTACCTCTGATTAAGATACTTATATATTGTTTGTGTATTGATGTATATTTACCATACTGCAATGTATATTTGTACATTGTTTATATTTGGAGGTCATTATCCTCATTTGTTACACAGTTGTTTATTGTCTTAGTCTTTAAGTTAGATAGATATTGAGAATTATATAGATTAATAGTCATATAAGTTTTTCATTTATAATTAGACTAATCAGGTTCTTTAGATATATAGAGATTATACTCAGTATAGATAGATAGTCTTCAACCCCTTCAAAGAGCTGTAGAAAATGGCCTTTAAATCTAACTCAGAGTTTCTTGATAGTGAGACACAATTGTTCCTGGCAGCACCAATCTATTCCCGAAAGAATATTGAGCACCAAAGACACTCCACCTGGAGCCTTTCTTTTTGGCAGAACTGGCCTTGGGGCAAAGAAATGCCCATACCTCAACCACTGACAGAGATACAGAGCATGCATCAATGGATAAAACAGGACTGTCATATCCTGCCAAGACAGGGTAAGATAGTTTTGAAAAGTTGCCTGCCTTTGAAAATGGTATGTCAGTTATGTTAGGCCTTAGCCAAAGTTGGTTGTTTCAACGCTGCAAACGTGACTTTGGGTGATTGCCCAGGTAGCTAGTTGTCTCTGTGATTTGTAGCATGTTTTGGAAGTTGTTTTATTGAACTTCCTAATTAGGTAACATTATTTCCCTTCTCGGATCTTCGATGGGGTTGAAGACTATATAAATGTAGTTACTTTTCTCTCATGACTTGGCCAAGTTATTTATTATACAAGACCTAAGCTAGTTAGAATAGGATATTTGTACTTATTGTATATAATTTCATAGTAGGTTTAGAACTCTCTTACTTAAACAAAAGGGGGAGGTGTTGCAGGAGGTCCTTCTGCTCCTCCAGCCTATAGCCGCTGAGATACCAGCCCATTGGGGCGTGGTCTCTCTCCCTTTAAAAAAGCAGCCACTTCCCTCTCCTCTCTCTCTTCACTTCCTGCTCCGCCAGAGACTAGACTCCCTTCCTGGTTGCACAGAGGGCTGTTGTCTGGGACGGTGTGTAGTAATAAGGGCGGCGGGGCTGCGTCCCCAGCACCCCAGCCGCCCACACGGCTAGCTTATGCCCCTGAAATAACAACACACAAACTATATTCATTTAATCACTGCTTGGCCCATTTCTATCTAGGCTAATTCTCACATATTAATTTAGCCTATTTCTAATCATCTGTGTGTAGCACCCCAAGGTGCACTTACTGGGGAGATTCTAGCCTATGTCCATCCTGGGTCGGAGCTTCATAGCGTGCGTCTGCCCAGGAACCAGGAGCATGGCGTCTCTCTGAGGTGTCTGCTCCCGAGAGGAGAGCTGTCGAGACTGAGCTCACTTCCTCTTCCTCCCAGCGTTCTGTTCTGTTTACTCCTCCCACCTATCCTCTAACCAATAAAATGGGCCAAGGCAGTTCCTTTATTAGCCAATGACCTTCCTCCATCAACGGTGATCTGTAAGTTTTTTCCCCTTTAAATAAATACCACCCTATTAATCATAATTCCAAACTGGTGTGGCATTGTTTGTGACTTACGCCATCAGGGAGGAGCACTAAGGGTTGAATAGCTTAAAATATTCAGAGCATTTTGAGTTTGTTAGTGTTGGGCCTTTGAGATGGTTCAGTCAGTAAAAACACCTGCTGTAATCGGGTGGTGGTGGTGCACATCTTTAATCCCAGCACTCAGGAGGCAAAGACAGGCTGATCTCTGTGAGTTCGAGGCCAGCCTGGTCTACAAGAGCTAGTTCCAGGACAGGCTCCAAAGCTACAGAGAAAGCCTGTCTCGAAAAACAAAACAAAACAAAAAAAAACAAAAAACCCTGTTGTGCAAGCCTGGTAATTTAAATTCCATCCCTGTAACCCATGATAAAAGGGGAAACTGGCTCCCAAAAGTTGCCCTCTGACCTACAAATATATTCCATTCATGGCACACATACACTACGAGTAAACATACAACATAATACACAATGATCATATTAACACAAATATTTTTTTGAAATCAGTGTTTTACCCCTTCAGAGTGTTTGCTACATCCACATACCAGCTATGCTAGTAACTTTCTTATTTTGAGTGATGGCAGTTTTCCTCGTTTATTCCTCCAAGTGCTGGGATAGCAGGTGTGAACTATCGTGCCTATTTAACTGACTCCATTTTCATGCAGAATTTAATTTTCTAAGAAACTTTACAGGCCTCGAGAGATGGCCCAGCAGTTAAAAAATAAAAAAAAGCATTGCTCTTACAGAAGACCCAGACCCAGGTTCATGTCTCAGCACTCATATGGCAGCTCACAACCGACCATAACTCCATTTCTTCTGGCCTCTATGGACATCAGGCGTACAAACAGTGCACAGACATACATGCAGGCAAAATACCCGTATACATAAAATAATTTTCTTTTTAATTTTAAAAGAAAGTGTACATCTAGCTGAAGAAATGGCTTATCAGTTAAGAGAATTTATGTCCCAACTATAAATAGAAATTAGTACAATTTATTACAAAGGTAGCCATTGTCTTGGGGTTTCTATTGCTATGAAGAGACATCATAACCATGGCAACTCTTATAAAGGAAAACATTCAATGGGGTGGCTTACAGTTCAGAGGTTTAGTCCATTGTCATCGTGGTGGGACATGGCAGCATGTGGGCAGACATAGTGGTGGAAGAAGTTCTTACATCTTGACTCACAGGCAACAAGAAGTGGTCCATCTCACTGGGCATGGCTTGAGCATAGATGAGACCTCAAAGTCTGCCTCCATGGTGATGCACTTCCTCCAACCAAACCACACCTCCTAATAGTGCCACTTTCTTTGGGGGCCATTTTCTTCCAAATCATCACAGTCATAAATTCTCAAAAGGGTATTTACATTTCTCCCCACCAGCACCACACCACACTACAACACTCACACACACACACACACACACACACACACACCTGCAAAAAAAAAAAAAGCCAGACCTTTGTGGTACACGCCTTTAATTCCAGTGCCTGGGGGGTAGAGGTAGGCAAATCTTTAAATTCAAGGACAGCCTGCTCTACAGAGTGAGATCCAGGACAGCTAGGGCTATACAGAGAAACCCTGTCTTGAAAAACCAAGAGGAGAAAAAGTGTCAGGGTGTGGGGGCAGGGAGAGAGAGAAGTGTATTTCCTGAGTCCTTAATTCTACTCGCTCAGCACAGTGCTACGTGGCTTGACTGTTATAACCTCATAGCCCTTTAAGGTCAATGCTAACACCAGCTTCTTTAGCCATGAGGAACTGAGACACAGGAGGTAATGAAACTGCCCACAGGTGCACAATCAGTTAATAGGTGTTCAAGTTCTTCAGCTCTGTGCTGTTGCCCTGACAGAAGTAGATGGCATACTCAATTCACAAAGCCTCCTGGGGATGGTATATAAACCGCCACAGACTTGGTGTCTTGGAACAATAGAAACTTATTCTGTCACGTTTTTAGAGGGGGATATCTGAACACAGGATACTGGCAGGACCGTGTTTCCTCCACACTTCTGGGACTGGATTCTCCCTTGCCTCCTCCAGCTTCAGCATCCCTAAGCAGTCCTTGCCTGGTAGCAGCCTCCCTCCCGTCCTCACGTGATTTCACATGTGCGTCTCTACTCCTGCCTCTTCTTTAAAGGGCACCTATCATGCTGTATTCAGGCCTACCTGAATTTCATCACGTTTGCAAAGATTGTTTCCAGATAAGGTCTTCTTCACAGGTGCCAGGGCTTGGGCGGCAATGTATCTCTTGTGGAGTGTAGGAGAAGCAGGAAACACAATCTAACCCATAGTGCTCACCCAGTTATGGTTTTTGAGCCTGGAGCAAGGAGACTGAAAGTGTTGGAGGAGAAATCAGGATCAGCACCAATACAGACTTTCTTTTTGAAAAAAAAATATTTTTATTTATTTTTATTACTTTATAAATAATACCATTCAAAATTTCCACTTCCTCCCCTCCTCCCATTTCCCTCCCGCTCCCCACTCCTCCTCCCCCCTCCCCCTCCAGTCCTAAGAGAGGGCAGGGTACCCTGCCCCATGGGAAGTCCAAAGCCCTCCCCGCTCCATCCAGGCCTAGGAAGGTGTGCATCCAAACAGACTAGGGTCCCAAAAAGCCAGTACATGCAGTAGATACAAATCCCAGTGTCATTTTCATTGGCTTCTCAGTAGGCCCCAATTGTCAGCCACATTCAGAGGGTCCTTCCTGTACAACTAAGACTGAAGGAGTTGGGCTGGGGGGGGGGGAGGGGGCAATGGCTTACTGTTCCAAAGACATCAGTGCCTAGTTAATCGGGCCTGGCCCATCACTGATATTTTAGGGAAAGTGGGCTATACAATAAATATACATGGGAATTTTTCAGCCTCATGGGAAAAGATGGCATCAGAAACTAGGAGAAAAGTCAACCTTCCAAAAGCCAGGGGGAGGGGAGAATATATCACTCACCTCTAGAAGGTACTCTGTATGGCTGGACCAAAATAGCAAAGTCAGAAACTACTCAAAACCTCGGGGGCATCATAGCCCAGCAGAGACAATAGTGAGTAAATCATTTATTCTATTCCAGTGAATACTTATTGGGGAGGGGGGACTATCTTTCTAAGACAGGTTTGAGAGGAAAGCATAGGAGAGCGAGCGCAGGAGGAGGGCTATCAAACCAGGCTGTCCTTGGGTGCTTGAATTGCACAGATCTCGTAGAGTTGGGCGGTTCTCATCTTGAGTTCTCGGGCCACCTGACAGATGGAGAAAGGCCAGCAGCAATGCACCACCATCCAGTCTTCACAGAGTGTCCCCTAGGGCAAGACCAAATGACACAGGACTCTTTCTGTTTCTCAAGGGATATTTGTCCTGGAGGAGGGATGACAAAGAACTGCGATTGGATTGGGAGGAAACAGATGGGACCCATAAGAAAATGGCAGCTTTTCAAGATAAAATGGGAAGCCCCAGGTTAGGATGAGGTATACAGTTTTAATTAGGCATGTTAATTAGGTGAGCCAAAAGGGGAGGTTGATTGCTGGACTTCAATACTTTGATAGCTGGACCTTGGTAGTCAGCCTCAGGAGGAGGAAGGGGCTAGCTTTAGGAATGTATTCTAATGGTTTAGCAAGGCGGAGGGAGTCAGGGAGAAGGGCAAGGCCTGTCAGAGCCACATGCTTTAGCGGAGTAGCATCCCTTCAGGTAATAAACTAAAATGGTCCCAAATCCCCATAGTAAAAAGTGATGGGAAATAAAAAAGAAAATCCCCCCTCGCCTCCCCCAGAGCTGTCCCCAGTCACCCAACTACCTGCCTGGAGACAATCATTGGTTAACAGTTACATGTCCAGGCAAACTGGATCAATCTAAACATATACACATACAGTCCTCAGACATGAGGAGTCACGCAAGCCTGTGTCTTGTTCACATAAAAAGATCATCCCCCAAAATACCTAGATACTGTGAGGAAGAGAATAAAGAGAGTCTGTCTGTCTGTCTGTGTCTGTGTCTGTGTGTCCAACGTAGAAGGTTCCCTTTGGAAGACCCTCTGTGTCTGGATGTGTTTCCACCCATCTCTGCTCACCCACTCATGGCTTCAGTCTTGGCTCTACTGGAAGTTAAGGACCACAAGGAGCCTCCTAAGTAAAGTCTACCTGCGACACATGGGCTACACTCCAAGTCAGACCTCACAAGCACTTCCTCCAAATTAGGTGTGAGTCCATCCGCCATGTCTTGAAGTAATAAGAGACAAGTGTGCTTTTATTTCTGTAGATGGGAGGGGATAGTGGCTACAATCACCTAGTTCTGCGCATCAAAGTACATCTCAGAGTGTGTAAATTGGCCAATGATTTGACCAGACCTGTTCACCAACACAGCCTGCATTATGATTTCTTCTTGAAATAGCCTTCAATATAAAATATACTTTTCATTTAAGTGATAACTCCTAGTAAATAATGAAATCAGAACTTTCATTCCCCACCATTTTTTATTAAATGTGAGATTTTTTTTTAAACATGTGTATGTGTGTGTGTTTCTCTCTCTCCCTCTCTCTCCCTTTCTCTCTCTCCCAATCACCTTGGGGAATCATAGGTTTGAAAAGCATCCCAGTTCTCATAAAGATTTGGATTCATATATGCCTCAGTTGTCCTTACCTGTATCTTATGTCTCTCTCTGGTGCCAGTTCTCAGTGCAAAGGTAGACCCTGGTAACAGTGGCCAACAAAGACACTCTCCATAATGCCTGGCAATGTCACACTCAAGACACATGGGACAAAAGAGACCACAGAAACCTGTCGATTGCACAAAAAAGAAAACCAGCGTTCTCAGAAATTCAGGGAATAACTTCACATTTTAAACAGATTCGCAACCCTATGCCATCAATTCAACACCGCATTGTCTGCCTGGAACCAGGGACAAAGAATGAATAAACAATTCTCAAAACTCAGAGCTAGAAAATCGTCATTACCTAGACATATCAAAATTGTGTTCTTTTGTTAAATATTGCCAAAACTTAACCTGACATGATTCTGTTAGCATTGATTATAGGAACTTTTTCTCCTGCCAAAAATGTTAAGTAATTTTTGAATCATAACTGATACTTACGTTCTTCTATCCAATTTTTAACATGGACCTAGGATACTTCCCAAATAAGCTTCATGAATTACAGATATTCCTTTCTGTAAAAACGATAGAAAAACTGATCCCATTTCCTTTTCTTGTCAGGGTTTTATTCTATTTCTCAGATCAGAGGTTATTCTGAATGTTGTCAGCTTCACAGAGCCACTGACGTTCGTCCATTTTAATCTGTAAACTATTAGGTGACTGGGCCCTTCAGTGTCAACTGGAAATGGTTTCCACTTAGTACTTCATTCACCATTAACTCTTGATATGACTTGCTACACAGACTGAATGGACTAACACGGATTCTATTCCCAAGATGTTTGAGGCCACAGAGCCTCCGGAGAACGTAATGGCTGTTACGAACTTGCTCCAGAAGGGAAGAGAAAGCGCATGCCCATGGGCAGGCAAATTGTTCACTCCCTTCCACGGAGCTCATAGTGCCACAGAAAACTATTAACGAGCCGTAAGAGCTGCTGACACACAATTAAGATGTCACATCATCTAAAACTGCAAAAAGATGACAATCCTGATGATTTCAAATAATTAGGACTATGAACCAACAAAAATGCCACAATACCAGTCTTTGGAAACACACTATCTTAGTTAGGGTTGTCATTGCTGGGATAAAACACCATGACCAAAGCAATTTGGGAAGGGAAGGAAAGGGTTTATTTGGCTTATGTTTTTAAGTGTTCATCACTGAAGGAAGTCAGAACTCAAATGGGGCAGGGACCTGGAGGCAGAAGCTGATGCAGAGGCCATGTAGGGATGCTTCTTACTGGCTTGCTCCTCATGGATTGCTCAGTCTGGTTTCTTATAGAACCCAGGACCACCAGCCCAGGGATGGCACCATCCACAATAGGCTGGGCCCTCCCTCACCAATCACTAATTAAGCAAACGCCCTACAGGCCTGCCTATAGACCTATATGGAGGCCTATATGGATGATTTTCTTAATTAAGGTTCCCTCCTCTTACATAATTTTAGCTCATATCAAGTTGACATAAAAATATGGAGTATACATGCTAAACATTTTAATCAAGAGGAATTTTATATACAAAAAATGCACAAACCTTAAGTATTCGCTTTGGGTGACAATAGTAGCATTCACCTATATAATAGGAAATCATACCCTTATCACCCCTACTCCTGAGGGAAACACAGTCATGACTTCTATCCCTCATCTCAATGGAATCACATTTACTTCTATTGTTTTGTGCAATATCACGAGTTTTTTTAGGTTTACTCATGTTGTTATATAAGTTATAACTAGTACTGTTGAATAAGTAGCATTTCATTGTATGAATAGTCTAAAAACTGTTTATTCTCCCACTACTCGACATTTTATTGCTCCATTTTTTTGATATTAATACCACTATGCATACTCACATGTAAGACTTGATATAGACATACCTTCAATTCAGTGTGTGGATATATGACTTTATTTTATCTGAGTAGTTTCCTGAGAGTGGAATTTCTAGGTCATATGTTTAATTCTACAAATATAGAGAAATAGTTCTCCAAAGCATTTGTACCATTCCATACCCCCTCTGACACCATTCAAGACTTCTAATGGCTTGACATCATGGCTAGCATTTGCTATTGTCAGAGTTTTGTTTTAGCCATTGTAGCTTGTGTGAAGTGTTAGTCACCACAGCTTCTGATGCGCCAGAAACAAAGGTATGGTAGGTACCTTGTAGCTGAAAGCAAACTAAGTAAGCCTCAAATAATTCTAAGATATTTTAATCTGAATCAAAAAAAAAAAAAAACAATCCTGACTGGGGCTATGGCTCCATGGTCATGTACTTGCCTAGAATGCACAAGGATCAGTCCCCAGCACTAAAAAATAATTCCCGAGCAGAAAAGGAGACTCTGCCCAGCACTGACAACTAGTCTGAACAACTTGGAAAGCAGTATAAGGCCTAGCAAAGTTGCAGCAAGCAGAGGGTTCCCAGCATCTGCAACCTTGAATTAGAGCAATTTGAAATCAATGGCACGGTCTGTGAGGATTATGAAAGACGGTAAATTCCCACAAACAAAGCAATTAACAAAAATGTGCCTAATTATAAAGCTGGCAAATTAAGCAACTGATCAATCCTGTTTACTCGTCTCTGAACAGTACCACACCCTGTAAAGACATTGATTGTGCCTTAGCATTGTTGCTCCACGTTAGAACTCACTTGCTGGGTTTTTTTGTTGGTTGGTTGGTTGATTTTTAATCTGTCTGTCAGATAACCATGCTATATAAGTGTGCTTTTTAGACACTTGTCTTACTTTTCTACTGAGGTGACATAATACCATGATCATAGCAACTTCTAGAAGAAAGCATTTAATTGGGGGCTCGTGGTTCCATATAGTTAGAGTTCATGCCCACCATGGTGGGGAACAGTGGCAGTGGTCAGGCAGACGTGGTGCCGGAGCAGCAGCAGAGAGATTACTTCTGATCCACAGCAAGAGGCAGAGAAAGAGCTAACTGGGAATGATGAGAACTTCTGAAACCTTAAAGTCCACCTCTCTTAAAAAAAAAAAAAAGTGATACTTCCTCCAACAAGGCTATACCTCCTAGTCCTCCCCAAACAGTTCCACCATCTGGGGACCAAGTATTAAAACATACGAGCCTTTGGGAAATGTTCTCATTCAAATCACAATACTTAAATTCAATCACTTTGAACTAGAAGTCAGCTGTGGTTTTTAAAAGATGTCTATATCGAAGCCTATATAGAAATATTTATTTTACAATAGCTCATGTTTATAAAGAGTTCCCTGTGTGCCAAGCTCTTCCTGAAAACATTTAACACGTGTTAGCTCATTTAATCTCTGAAATAATCATATAAACTAGGCACTTTGTTTGTTTGTTTGTTTGTTTGTTTGTTTTGAGACAGGGTTTCTCTGTGTATTGCCGGCTGTTCTGGAACTCACTCTGTAGACCAGACTGGCTTCAAACTCAGAGACCCACCTGCCTCTGCCTCCCATGTACACTGCCATCATTCAGGCCTGCATGATAGCCTGCCCCATAACCACAGTACTTGTGGGATTAAGACAGTAGAAGCATAAAGTTTGAGGACAGCCTAGGATACACAGGGAATTCTAGAACAGCCTGTGCTTGCTTGCTAAGACCCTGTCTCAGAAAAATCAACTGATGAATAAAATGGGTCTTCTTACTAACCCCATTTATAATTAGTTCACCTAATCTCTAGAAGTAATTGTCCCTAAGCTTATAATATTATTAGTGAAGGACAGAGACCATATTTGAACTCTAGGAAAATGAACCCAGAGTCCTAGTGTATGTCCATATGTTCTCATGTTTTACATTTCTATCCCATCATAATTAATGAAAAAGAGTTTGTGTAGTCCAGGACAGTATGTCATTATATTTATCCCTGTGGGGTGACCTGAATTCTGTGACTCTTTTCAGAAAGACCCTCTGAGTCAAATGTCACTGCTGTGCATGGTGAGGGGTGTGGCTGGAGACAAAAATACTTAGACTAGACCCCAAGAAGGGATGCACAAGAATAGAAGGCTGGGATCCTTTCCCCAAAAGTAGGTTTTGCCGTGATATCGGAGAACAGGGTAAACACACAGAATATGGGAGGCACTCTTATAAATATATATCAAGGAAAACAGAAGAAAAGATAATGGCCATCAGTGGGTAGCTTGCTAAAAAGGAAATACCAATGGCCAACAATAATGTCATTATGAAGGCATATTAATACTATCAGAAATCACTTGCTACTCACAAGAATGCCCCATTTTTAATATATGTTTGGGGACATAAAATTACAAATACATGAATGTGGAAATTGGCCTAACCACATTAGATGAGACCTTTGCTCAATCTATTAAGAATTAAAAACACTCTAGGAATGAATAATCTCACTTATCAGCGCCTAGAGTAACACTTGGGCACAGAAGGACACCTGCAAGGATAGTCACTGAAGTGTGTCTGCATCACAGCGTTTACAAACGCAAATGCATGTCAGTAGGCTGAGAAATAGATAAAACATGGCGTGTAACCACTAAGAATGTGGGAAAAGGACTGGAGAGGTGGCTCGGTGATCAAGAATGCTTGCTAGGCGGCCACGAGGACCTGAGTTTGGATCCCGGCAAACACAACACAAGCCAGCATACATACCTGCAATGCCAGGACCGTGAGAGACAGAGACAGAAGGAGTGGTGGGGCTTGATGGCTGCCAGCCTAGCTCTAGGTTCAATGAGAGGCCCTGTCTCAAAGGAGCATAAAGTGGAGCGTAATAGAGGAGGATATCAGATGCCTTCTTCTGGCTTCTGCCCATGCACACTGGTACCCATACCTGCACATACACTGCACGCACATGCACACACATGCACAAACTTTTCTAAAAGGATGTGATAAAAATTCAATTAACTACCAACAGAGCGAAATCTCTAAGGCTAATTTGAATTTTAAAAAATCAAATTGCATAAGGAGCACAACTTAATACCAATTATGCTTTGCCTAATGAGTTACAAAGCAATAGCATATATTGCTAACAGATTTACACAGGTAAATGTAGAGAAAATACCTGGAAGGAAATGTTCCCAAATGATTTTTTGTTGTTACACTTGTTTGCAACCATAAATGGTATTTACAAAGAGACAAGGATCCTTTTTCTGTAGCACCCCATTTCTACAAGGTGAATGTGCCAACATGTTATCAGTCATATATTTTCTTCTTTTACAGAGCTCACGGTCAATAGGGATGCATGGTACACATTCAGCCTTTCCCTTTACTTCCACAGCCCACCTAAACCGAGGCCTGTTCTCCACCCTCCTGTGTAGAATGCCATCCTTCTCCCTTACAGGCGAGTCAAAACAAAGACAAGAAGCGGTGGTGTAGAGGCCCAAAGAACTGAAGGAAGGAAGGAGAGTGGGAATTGAGCACGGCACATTTCAGGTCGCTTGCTGCAAGGGAGCTGAACCTTCCAATACTAAGATACTTTAGAGAGGAATGGAGCACACGCATGCACCGCCAGTGGGAGTGTAAATTAACTCACCTTCCAGAAAGAAAGCCACTTGACGACATCTACCATAATTTAAAGAGGCACGTTCTGTTTGGTCAGCAAGTTTACTCATTAGCAGTTACCCAAGACAGATATCCTCACACTATGCAAAACTGACATCTGAACAAGCTGGGTTGCACAGTACTGGTTTGAGTAAACCCCATACTCCAGCAACCGGAGTTTCTGCAAAAAACTGGGATACAAGGGGATTCATGAGGCAATTTAAGAAATTAGCTCCAGATGTGCTTATGTGGCATGATCACCTACATGTGTGGTGAAATCGAAACAGAGGTGTCTAGTAATGTACATTTACAATTCTTCCACTTATGTAAACTGTGTACACACATAAGTAAGGGATCTGGCGGTGGGTGGGGGAGCGACAAAATATCTGCACCTACAGATACTGTTTTGTCCTTGGGCTGTCTTCTATATTTTTCTTTTTTTTTTTCTTTTTTTTTTTTTTTTTTTTGGTTTTTCCAGACAGGGTTTCTCTGTGGCTTTGGAGCCTGTCCTGGGACTCCCTTTGTAGACCAGGCTGGCCTCGAACTCACAGAGATCCGCCTGCCTCTGCCTCCCGAGTGCTGGAATTACAGGCGTGCGCCACCACCGCCCGGCTATATTTTTCTTTTTTATGACCACTAAATGGTGATTTTAAATCAGGACCCAATACTTGCTTCTCACAGGTTCTGGGATCCTGAGACATGGCCGGTGAGATAAACAGTGACTCAGTGTGCCTTTGCTGTAAGCCAGAGGTCAGTCGTGAAACTAGAACCTCTTGACGACTGAACCAGAGCCAGACAAGATCTCAGTCAACAGAGGGCGTTTCCTTTCAGATCATTCTTGTTACAAGAGCAACGCATGGAGAGATTAAAGAGATAATTTTTGAAAAATGAAATGTATTTGTTAGCCTGCCATCTGGAGATATCTGCTGTAAATAATAGTATTAGATCCTCCTATGCTTTTTTTCCCTAAATGTTTTCACCTCCTCCAGATGGAATTTAATGAACACAGTTTTGCACTCACTCGGCTTCTTAAACTCAAAACCATATGCAAGACAGGTGTGCTACCATGCACCTTGAGTCCCAGCGCTCAGGAGGCCGAAGCAGGTGGAACTCGGTGAGTTCCAGATGAGCCAGGGAAACAGTGAGACCCTGTCTCAAAAAAAAATAAATTAACAAAAGTGAAACTGTACACAAAAGATCTTTTAACTCACTGACTGTTACTCTACTCTGTGACTCTTCAGAGCTGTATAATAACCCAGTGGGTGGATGCAGTACATATGCTGTTCCAAGCTTTGCCACAGTGACCAGGGCTGCAGTGTTGATGTGCCTGTTCAATTTTGCACATAATTTATTTTCTCAGATTAAGCTCCTACTAAGAAATGTAGTTACCAGGGGAAACACTAGTGTAACCCTTGCTGATCTCCACCAGTTCATACCGTCACTTCTAGTGACAAGGGAGGCTATTTTGTGTCTTTACCAACTATGGATTCTATCATTTAAATAAAAAAAAAATCTTTGAAAATACCACTTATCCTATGAACGGGTCTACACTGTTGAAAAGCATGACTTTTTTTTTCCCAACTAAAGAACAGCCTTGAGACGCTAGACTAATCCAGTTATTCTGAAATCTTTTACTTTCTGACCTTGTGCCGGGGTAGCTTTTCCACTTACTGATACCTCAGGGGAGAAAATGGTAAGGAGGAGTGTGAGTGAAAAGGAAGCCCGTACAGATTTTCCTGTCTCTGCAGACGCTGAAGAGGCCGGTGCTCCAGTCCCCACCAGTCTGGATGATGGTCGTGACTGTGGTCCTGCTGCTGGCTCCGCGGATAGGCTGCTTCACCACGGTTCGAGCTGGTACTTGGCTCCTGGAGAGTCAAGGATGATGGTTAACTTGTTAACCAAGATGCTGAAGAATGATAACCATTGATCAAAACAGAACAATAAAGAAGAGATCAGAGACCCGTGGAGCCAAGAGGCTGAGTCATACATAATCCAGGCTGACGCGATCAGCTCCCTCTTTCAGCATGCCTCCTCTGACTTTATAATGTTTAGTCCCATTAAGGACCAATCTCTTACTCAAGTTCAATGTCCAATCTAACACCTAGTGTTTGCCAGGGTTTCATAATAGCTAACTTCACAAACTTGAAACAAAGAGACATCCAGTCAGATCCCAGCATGTCCCTCCATGGTGACATGGCCGCAGCTAAGTGGTTTGTGCTCCCTACCTCCTGTCAGTTCAGATGGGAAAATGATCTCACGGGGCTTATTGTATCAACTGAAGGACATATAACTAGTTTACTGTCACCTGAGGGTGTGCCACAGGTGAAGTAAGCTATAACCCAAGAGCGGTGAGCATCTGCTCAAGAAAGAATGATGGGGAGACTGGGAGAGCAGCTAGGAACCGGGGCACAGCTACTGGGGTCGACATGTGGATGGCCCCAATGCACAACATCCCACACATTCCTCTTGGAGTTAATTTTCCCTGAAAGGAATGGATATTTCCACTTTCTGTAATTCTAAATTAGGAAACAATTGCTTAAGGGACTGGGATGTAACGGTGAAGTGAGGGGAAAAGCTCCCTCCTATTTCTGAGATAAAAAGTTCTGTGTGAATTTCAGTCATGGAAATGGCAAGAGTCATTTCCATAGATGAAGGTAAGCTGCTTCAAGGTTCATGGGAAAGCTGGGTCAACTTGGAGTCAGTGGGGCCTATCATGAGTCTGAGCCTGCACTGTGTTGTCATTACCTTGTGGTATGCCTCTCCTGCAGCAAGCCTCATGAGCTGCCTGCACCTGATCTCTGAGGTGCTGTGGAAAATTAAGGACGGAACCTGCCTCACATTCGCAATAAAATAAACAAGACGCAGCACCATTTGCCCAGGAACCATTGTTGCAGTAGGTCACCGAGTTCTAGATGCCCTAGGAGTCAAAGTGAAACTTGACTGAGCAATCATAAGAGTGCATTGCTCTGGGGGTAAATGGCTGGAGAGCTCCTTTCAAATCTGATTTGGAGCAATCAAATCAGTAAGATGTTATGGTATGGTGATATGTCTTTTCCACCACACCAATACTCCCTGCTGTTGTGTTGAAGGTCCCTAGCTGGTGGTATGATATGAGGTTCTGGAACCTTTAGGTGACAGGCCTATTTGGAAAAAGTACTTCATTGGGATCTTTGAAAGTTTTGCCTTGTGAAGGGACAAGTCACACCTTTGAAGGGAGCCTTTAAAGGAGCCAGAGAACAGTCCCTTTCCCTGCCTGCTTCCTGTCTACCTTAAGGCATACACCACCTTCCTTCATATATTCCTCCCACCACAATCCTCTCAACACGGGCCCATAATCAATGGGACAAAGGAATATGGATTGAAATCTCTGAAATCGTAAGCCAAAACACATCATTCTTTCTGTTCAGGTGTTTATGCCGTGCACTCTGTCACAGGGACAAGAAAATTAATCGCTTGCCCAAGCATCACCAAACAGGACAACTTGCCAAAACAAGTTCCAAAGCCCTGCCCCAGACCAACTGCACGGGTCTCCAAAGTCCAGAAGTCACGACCATAACAGGTTTCCAGGTAACTCTTAAGCAAGAAGTCTGTTGCCACCTGACACCTCATGCAGTGGATCTGAAAGCCACTGGTGACTGCAACAGCTCCCAAGTCCACACCAGCTAGGCGGTGTCCATGGAACAGGAATGGCAAGGGACATAGAACAGGTAGTAGGCAAGAAGAGAGGATACTTGAAACACTACTCCAAAGACCCAGTGAGTCATCAAGATGTTAAAGAGCTGGAGATTCTCCACGAGAGCTCAGAAGGGACCTAGAGGCCGGGCTGGAGCTACTGGGTCCCCAGAGCAGGGTTCGTCCTTTTATCTGGTAGACATTACAGATAATACTTAGGGTCTAATTAGCACTTTGAGACCCTATATTTTTTTAAATATTTATTTATTTATTATGTATACAATTTCTACATGTATGCCTGCAGTACAGAAGAGGGCACTAGACCTCATTACAGATGGTTGTGAGCCACCATGTGGTTGCTGGGAATTGAACTCAGGACCTTTGGAAGAGCAGGCAATGCTCTTAACCACTGAGCCATCTCTCCAGCCCCATCCTATATGTTCTTAAGACTTGGAAAAATGTGTAAAACATAAAGCTGATGCTAAGTCAAACACTGGAAGTTAGCATTATGCCCATTCCATTGCCAAATAGAACTCACGAATTCTGTTGTTGCTTGGAGTACTTTTGTCATTTGATTTTGAGCCTGGTTGGCCTGGAACTCACAAGAGATGAAGCTGCCTCTGCCTACTGAGTGCTGAGTTAAAGGCTTACGTCACCACACTCAGTCCCACCAGCAAATATTTGATTGCATTTGAAAATGTGTTTAAGGTTTTCCTGTTGCTCAAAAAATGCCCAGAGGCATAGCTGCTGAAAAGTAGCCGCCAGTGGCTCATCATGACCTATAACCAGATAAGTTCAAAACAAAATTGTAAAACACCCTTTCGTCTGTGACTCAGATGTGTGTGAAGAACGAGAGGATTATGGCCTGCGTATGTGTTGATGTTCAGCCTGAAGTGTGTTAAGGGTTATTTCTGTGAACTGACATATGCTCCCTGAAATGTGGCTGTATATGGAGATGACTCCTAGAAAGTAAAGTTCAGTAGGGCAGAGGGATGGAATCCTAAGTTAATGGCCTTGATGAACAGAGAGACCAAGAAAGTACCCTGTGAGCCAGGAAAGGCCTCACCAAACCCAACCGCACTCCCCCAGTCCCAGACTTCCAACCTCCAGAACTGAGGGAAGTAGTCATTACTGACTCCACCCGGCCACCGATGAACATTTGAAACTGGTCCTGAAGAAGCTGCCTTCACACTGGCCCTGTTTCATCTCCCTCCATTTGTGCTCCTTGTTGCCAGGGGCACAGGCTGTTGTTCCTCTTTGTATGCCCAGCATCAGCACACTGCCCTGAAACGGAGTGAGTACTCGATAAATATTTGCTGATTGGATCAAATAGATTCACTGTCTCTCCTATTGTACTCAAGTCTTTCTTCAATCTAGCTCCTCTGGGCTAAATTATGCAACTTGAACTGCATTTCAATTCTGTAGCCTAACTCTCAGGTGTGAGCTGATGAAATACAAGCAGAGGATAGCCTAAAAGCTTTCTGCATCTCTCTACACAATCCAAGGCATTTCCTTCTCGGCATGGTGCCTACCAGTGAGGGCTTCCATCATTATGCTAAGAGCTTCAATCATCTCTGATTTTAGTGGAGGGATTTCTGAGGGCTGAGCACCTGGAAAGATTTTTCCCTGAAATGAACCATTTGCAGTCTGCAGCCCTAGACAAGAGATTTTTGCTTCTATCTTAAAATTATGTGCATAACACCTTTTTATCACAGCAAGGAGGCCAGTCTTCTATCTACTCCAAATCAAGTAACTGAGAAGGTAACTTTTACTTGTTGGAAAAAATTACGTGTGTGTGTGTGTGTGTGTGTTTGCCTAATTTTGAACTCAATAAGAACTCTATTCTAATACTCTGAATCTTTGGTGATTTTATTAAAATGTTTAGATTTACAGTTCAAGCTTAACGCTGCTCATCTGTCATGATTCAGAAAGTAACGCCAGCCCTTCCCTAGGCACTGCCTATGTGCCAGGCATTTGGTAGTCCCACTAAAAATAGCAAGGTGATGAGGTGTGACAGTGTACACCGGTAATCCCAGGACCTGGGCAAACAAGGCAGGAGAGGTTGAGAGCAACCAAGCCTGCATAGCAAAATCCCATCAAAGGAGAGGGAGAATTCAAGAGAGAGAGAGTCAAAGCAAGACCAAGGGCAGGGTGGCTTATCTTAATCCGGGGCTGCTACACATGAGATGAAAGTAGTCACTGTAACTTCTTGGGCAGCTTGTCTATATGACCTGCAAGGAGTGCTTATGCTACCACGAAGAACAGGAACAAGCTTGAGCATGATGGATACAACTGATGCCCACAGACCTGGGCCAAATCAGAGACGCTGCCCATTCATAAGCAGAAAGAACAAACTGGTGCACACTGAATTTCAAATCCAGCTCAGCTACGTTCTAGCTCTTCAAGCTTAGGAAAGACCCCATCACTGCCCTCAACTCTGGCCTCATCTTCCTCCTCCAACTGTGTTTTAAGCACTCTAGCTCTTGGTTGCCGTGAGCATTCAATGATATCATGTACTTGGTGCATGGGACTTGGTGCATGCAACTGACAGCAGCTAGTGTTAGCATGACTTCAGCATCCAGTGTGCTTTCTTTGCTTTTCTGAGGAACAAAGAAGGCAGAGAAATCTGGGTCGGTGTTTTTAAGATGATACATGTGCTACCCAAATACCTTGAGATACAGTCAAGATGTTCAACCATCTTAATTTGACTAGGATAGAGAACTTTTGGTACTAAAATCAAGATGGTCCTGAGAAAACCAAGAGAGGTGGTAACTCTGCTCATCAAAAGCAGAGGGAAGCTTTAGTGGGAAATGGGATGACAGCAGCCGTAGTCTCTTTGATCCTTCTACCTAGTGATGCTTCAGATTGGTAAAATACACTCTCTCTTCTGGCTTCACTTTCTTCTAACTCACCCACCTAAGAAGCCAGGCACCCTCCCCAACAAAAGCTGACTGTCCCCATGTTGAATACACCAGTCTGGGCAGTTTCTGTTAATTCTTTAATCAAACATACAGTGCTAAGAATTTATTGTACTTTCCACCCAGGCCCCCTTGTTTACTCCAAATTCTTCACTGAAGTCAAATCTCTAAGATATTTATGTCAAAGGGGTGGATTTCACAGGCAGTAGCCAGATATAAAGTTTCACTTGATCAGGACAGGATAATTTAAACTAAGAATGAAGAGATTTCCTTTAACTTAAGCAGTCCTTCCTTCACAAGCCATGCACAGTTGCCCCCTTCTCACGCACTCTTGGGGCTAGGTACTCCCACTCGCCCCACAAAAGCCGCTGTTCTTTCCCCGGGCTCCTTTTACAAAGAGATTGGCTGGATAGTCCAACAGCAAAACCTGCGAGAAAAGTCACCTGACTTCCTACCTCAAGTGGGAAATGAAATGCTCATCTTCAGACGATACGAGGGAGAAGAGTGGCGCATGTGTACTGAGCAAGGAAACGTCCTCGTGGGGCCTGGAGAAGTGATGCCCGAGCCAGCTCATAAGGACAGCTTCTTGTCTTATTGTCTGGTTATCCTCTCCCTTGGACAATGCGCAGACTGGTTCTAAACCTGGGTTCAAACCAAAGGGAAGCGTGCCCTTAAAAGAATGTTGCCTTGATATTCTGGAACTTGAGGTCATAGCAGGCTGATAGACAGACATTGTATTGTTTTAAAGATGAGCACATGTCTAACTAAGGGTTAACCTTTTTCTAATCTGAAGGGAGGGAGATTGATGGAGATACAATGTAAACACAAAATTTAGCCGGGCTGTGGTGGCTTATGCTTTTAAACCCAGAATTTGGGACGTAGAGGCAGGCAGATCTCTATGAGTTCAAGGCCAGTCTGGTCTACAAGAGCTAGTTCCAGGACAGCAAGGGCTGTTACACAGAGAAACTCTGTCTTGAAAAACAAAAACAACAACAACAACAAATGTAAACACAAAATTTAAAACAAGGAATTTATCTTTGATGGGAAAATCCTTTGCTTTAAAGGATGCCTTTACTAAGGATTTACCTGGTTAGGTGCCACTCCGCGCCATGTCGTCGCAGAAACTGCAGTTTTCTACCTTACTAGGCAGCAAGGTGGCTGCATCACCAGGACCAGTGGTCCAATCCTGAAAGCTGAAACAATTCCAAAATATACCCAAAAGCGGGGATAGAAAGGTCTTCCAGCCTGGGGATTACTTATCAAGAAAAAAGGTCTTCAAAGGACCAGAAAACCATTAAGAAAAACAATTGAGTCCAACACATAGAAGTATTGAACCATATATTTCTAATTATAAAGGGGAAAAAATACACATCATGAATGCCTGGAAAAAGCCAAATGTATCCAAAATGTGTATTTACAACTGAAAGTTCTGAGAGCTTTTTCAGACAAACGGGACTTTCACCTGCAATCAAAGTTCCAGAAGTGACTGTCCAGGAAGATATCTCTGAAACAGAACATCCTGGAAGTTGTCAGAAAGTATCATTAATAAGGGAAATTCTGGAATTTATCAAGTTTAGAATTGAACAAACTGGAATAATTTATCTTCAAATTGGGCAATGAAAGTAATGCTTAGTCTGAATTTTAACAAACCTCTAGACATATTGCAAACAGAAATACATTCTGAGCCATTTTAAACTCTGTTAGTCAAGTGCAACAAAAGTAAAAAGAAACAAGCAAACTTAAACTTAACATATATTTTACCAATTAATCACTTTTTCTCTACTTTTATATGTAGGTGCTGTGTCTGCATGAATGTCTGCACGCCATGAGGATGCCTGGTGCCCACAAGGCCAGAAGACAGTGTCAAATCCCCTGAGATCAGAGTCACAGACAGTTGTGACCCACTCAGTGAGTGCTGAGACTAGAACCAGGTTGTCTGAAAGAGCAGCCGGTGCTCTTAACCACTGCGTCATCCCTCCAGCCTTTTCAATCGATATTTTAAAATTATTATTGGAATACCTTGCATTCATTTTACATACAAATACTCTAAGATCTGGATCATAAACTACAGTTACAGCACCTTGAGATCTGGTCCAGCTGCATTTCAAGTGCTCTGAAGACTCACGTGGCCAGTGGCAAAGCCCTAAACCACACAACTCTGAATTTACTATCACGAGAAATGTGAGAGGAACAAATTACCACCTCCTCTTGAAAACTGAAAATGTAGTATTTGTTCATTACATTCTTTAAGACCCTTAGAAGTGTCATCTTCTACCCTAGTTAGTAGGTGTGTCTTTGTGTGTGTGTGTGTGTGTGTGTGTGTGTGTGTGCTTCACCTGCAACTAGTTATACTGTGTATAGTCTATCAGTGAACAATTAGAAATAATTGTTAATACTCCAGGTTTGAGGGGTATTCTTCTAATGCAATGGTTCTCAATCTGTGGGTCAAGACCACTTTGAAGGTTTGACCTTTTTACAGGAGTTGCGTATCAGTTATCCTTCATTACAATTCATAACAGTAGCAAAATTACAGTTATGAAGTAGCAACAAAAATACTTTCATGGTTGGGAGTCACCACAACATGAGGAAATGTATTAAAGGGTTGCAGTATTAGGAAGACTGAGAATCACTATTCTAACATAAAGGTGAAGTTATATTCAAGACACTAAGTGAAGAAAAACCATGATCAAGCGAGTAGTGCTAAATCCATACATACACTATTAAGAGTGTCAAAGACATATATTTCCAAAACATATATCAAAATATCAGCAAATTAAGTCAGACACAGTGGTGCGCATCTGATGTGGGATTCCCTTCCCTTCTGTATGCTATGAATATGTCTTATTACCATTGGCTAATAAAGAAGCCACTTTAGCCTATAGCAGGGCAGAACATAGCCAGGTCAGAAGAGACAGAGAGAGTAGGCAGCATCAGAGATGCCATGTAGCTGCTGAAGGAGACAGATGCCAGAGCTGGAAGCTTACCCTTGTGGCTATACACAGATTAATAGAAATGGGTTAATTAAGATTAAGAATTAGATAATAAGAAGCCTAAGCTAATAGGCCAAGCAGTGTTGTAATTAATGTAACTTCGGTGTGATTGTTTAGGTCTGGGTGGCTGGGAAACAAACGAGCAGCCTCCATCTACACATGGTGCCAACTTGAGCTGAGTACATCCACATAAAACCTGAGGGTGTGGGAAGGAATTCTAGTCATAAAATAACAGAGTTAAGCACAGCTTCTTGGTAGCAGCATTTTCTTAGGTGGGCTTTGTTTGTTAGAAGCAAGCAGAGGCACAATTCCTTTAAGATAAGGCTTCCTGACTCAGCAGTAGCAACAAAAACTGCACAGCTCCTTTAAGAAGGCTCCCTGGTTCATGCTAATTGCATGAACAGCTCTGGCTCTTTCAGGAGGTCCTGCACTTAAATGGGGTTTGTAAGCGGTGTGCTACTAGTTGCGTAATGGCAACATAGACCCATGCATCCCTGGAGCTGGGGTGGTGAGCAAGGCTAGTAGAGTCTGCCATGTTGGATGGGGCAGAGCCAACAGGCAGGGCTGAGGAGTTGGTCCTAGCCATGCCCACTTAGCATATTTTTAAAAAGGGGCTCCTGATCAGAAAATGATTATAGATATGCAATAAAGACAGATTCAGACAAAAATAAATCTCTGAATGGGTCACAGTGTGTTTAAAACTGTACATAGGCTTGGGAAAGAGAGGAAAAGAGTATAGACAAAAGTAATCATAGATTAAAGGAGTAAAGATAATAAAATAAATACTAAAAATTAATAGCATAATATAAAAAGTTCACGTAAAGATGGAAAATATACAGTCTGGATTACGCATATTATTGTGTTTTCCTTGAATTTTTTTGACTGTAGAGAGACATTAGATTCTGGGGGTTGTTAAGTTAAATCAACATAAAGGCATCTTGACTTCAAAATTTGAGTCTAAGGATATGTTACTTTGGAAAAGAGATTTTGCTTTTGTTTCCAAAGAAGATGAGAACCTATAGATAAACTAATGTGGTTTGTTGGAACAAGACCCCCTGAAAGGTTGCTATGAACCCTAAAAATATTTCACCCAATAAAGAGCAGAAAACATTTTGGGAAAAACAATGACCAAATTCCCAAAATAATTGTTTATAACATTTATAGTATGTTTTTCTTTAAAGAGGGATATGATATAGAGATAAATACTTTGCATTGGTATGGATCTTGGTCTATTGATACAGATTTAAGGTTGGTTTTGTCACACTGTATATATGTATTTCTGCTATTGCTTAAAGTATTGTTTATGCAGTTCATTCAAAAATGTAATGTATAATTAAATACAGATTAATAAATAGTCATCTATAATAGTCAAACTGTAGTTACCTTAGTTAGGTAATCTTCAACACTCCAAAGACCTACAGAACATGGCATTTAAAGTGTTTTAAGAACTTAAGACTTTTCTCAACAGTGATACATGTCTGCTCCTGGCAGCACCAATTACTTCAAGAGGAAGATGGGCATCAAACTTGCCTGGACTGCTTGATGGTATGCTGTATGAACTGGATATGCATGGCCCACAGAAAAATGACTGCAGAACTTGCCTAAAGAGAGACAGTCCCTCCAGGGTTCCTACTTCATGAAAAGTCTGCCAGACATTCTGCAGGATACAGAAGAAAGCAACTGATGAAATTTGTCAGTATAAGGCATAAGAGACCTTCAAATTTCCTGCTTTATGGAAAAGTCTGCCAGATATTATGGTCCTGTAGGCTCAGGGTGGATGACCCAAAGTTACAGAAGAACTTTGGGTGATTGTCCAGGCAGCAAGATATCTCTGTCAAGTCTAGAACTTTGGAAGTTGCTTACAGTGCACTTCCTGTTTATTTAGGTAATATATTCTTCTGGGGTCTTTGAAGAGTTGAAGACAGATAGTTATAGTTTTCCTTAGCTATGATAAACGAGAAATTAGATATAAAACTTTAGAATGTCTCGTGGGGCCTCCTTGCTCTTCACTGCTCACACAGGCAACTCCATGCCCCTCAGGGCCTTTGTATTTGTTGTTCCCAGGTATCTGCTAACAAAGGTACAAGGACATCTACCCCAGAACCTATAAGCTAGCTCACTTCTACAAACACAGTCTGATTATACACTTCGTGAACTATCTGCCACATGTTCATAAGGTTATTCACCATATGTCCTTCCTTTTCAAACTTATTATTTTCACATGGATGTGTGTGCACCTGTACCAGTTTATGTGCACAGAGGAGCCCCAGGCCAGAAGAGGGTGTCAGATCCTCTGGAACTGGAATTGTAAGGGGTTATTAGCCATCACGTGGGTGCCAAGATCCAGACTGGAGTCCTCTGCAAGAGCAGCAAGCATGGATAGTTGTTACATGATGCACCTCTCCTGCCTCACCTATACATTAACAAAGTCTACAGAATATCACTTGGAAAGAATGTAAGTGTCCATTTATAGATGTTAACTAGACAATTAAACCTTCACAACAGCCTTATGCAGTAGGGTAGAAGGAAGAAGAGAAGCATGAAAAAGAATTCTCAGCCAGGCAGTGGTAGCGCATGCCTTTAA